ATAGAAGATACAAATATTCTATAACAAAATAATTTAATTTATCATATAAATGCCATAACTAAATCAATGAAAACTTAATCTTTTTAAACATTTTTTTTTAATAATATCCAAATGTTAATTTTTTATTGTTTGTTATTTCGAAAAAGTATGCTTCATGAACACCCCTGAAAACTGCAAATTTTAGTTTTCTAAGATGCTAAGGTACAAAACATATCAATTTACACCTGAAATAATTATTCTTTTTTTATTTTGAATTTCGTTGCTTTAAAATTTAAAATGACTTACTTAACATTAAATAATTACCTTGTTGTTTATCTTCACAAAATATTTACCGCTGGTATCACATATTACATCTAAAATTAAAAGACATAACTTTATTACTGCAAAATTCCGTCATTTTCAGTGTGATATATCTTTTACATCTTTTACAATTAAATTATTGTTTTTGTATTCGCAACTGTTCAATACTCCACCACCACCAGATTTAAACCTATAAAACCTGTAAATAATAAACTGTATTCTTCAGTGTCTGTTATTTTGGCATTGACGTTTTGTATAATGATTTGAGTCTGTCAAATAAATGAATTTAAAATGAAGAAAGCGTCCGTCTATGAGTGAAGTATTTACTTAAACCGTTGTTAAATACATATTTGTTTGTAATTCACCAAAGAGACCAAAGAATTGAATAAAATCATTATGCTATGCATAACAGCTACATGCAAAAGCCTTAATAAAAGCGGAACTTAAGTCAACATTAAACTACTTCATAGTTGCGTGCTAACATTTATAAAAAAACAACATTACATCGGATTAGCTATTATATTTACTTTAACCCTTGTTGAAAACATATTTGTTTGTAATTCACCAAAGAGACCTTAGAGACCAAAGAACTGAATCAAATCAATATGTTATTGGTAACAACTACATACAAAAATCTAAATAAAAGCGGAACTAAAGACTACTTTATAGTTGCGTGCTAACATTATAAAAGAAATATAATTACATCGGACTGGCTATTATATTACTTGCAGTGATAGAAAGGGCTTAAAACTTGAACTGTAGAATGATTGAATCATTTCTTTCAAATATCTAATTGTACTACACAGTTCATCCTTTGATTAAACTACAAAAAAAAAGATGTTTATTGAACACTCTTTTGTGCTTGAAGATTAATATACTTTTAATTTATAGCATTTCATCTCCAAAAAAGAAGAGTTTGCTGTTGACTATTTAATACATTTTACAGAGACAGCTTTATAGGTTATTCCTTAAGACTAAAATACAACTTATTTTTGTCCCTTTACACTTCCTTTGAAATATACAGTAAAACTTCATTGGCTCGAACTCAATCACTCAAATAACACCCTTCGCTCTCGAACTCATCGCCCAGTCTTCCTCGGATCGCTCGAACACCGATCGCTCGTACTCTCAAACCTGATCTCTGGTGCCTTCGGTAGGAATATAATGAAACTCACACCTTTGGATGCAAATTTTGGTGCAAATCTATTAAACAAACACATATTCAGCAGTTCAATGGTTAGATTTATTGAATAATAAAAAGTATACACAATATAGAAACGCAAAGCCAGAAGCAAAAGTAACTTTCACTTTCATAGCATATCTGAAATATCAACATTGTTAAAAGGATATTCAGACAAATTAATAACTAAAATTTCAAATTATCTTATGTACTTAAATCACGCTAAAATGACATTTGTAAAAGTCTCAGAATGAATTTTGGTATAAATTCTTTATATTTTGGGTTTGAAGCGTAAAATTTATCTTTGTTTTTTTTTTTAAAATTAGCCGACGACAGAATCGCCGAGTAGTTTTAAAACTAGTCATATGACTTGAACAAACCCAAGAAGTTACAGTAACAGATTTTGTGGATATTGTATGATTAAAACAAACCTTTATCGTTCATTTGACGTGCTCTTTAACGTTTCCAGGGTTCACTGCGATAACGTATGTGAAATATTAAGGTTCTATCTTGACCCACGTGGATCAAGTTAGAAAACTTCCATTTTATTCTTTATAAGGAGAAAAGTTTTGTTCCTAAAACTGCCTAGTTCATACATTTTTAGGACATTTACAGATTAATTAATGAAAAATTCAAAACGAAAAAATGAAAATTTTGTCTGATTCTCCCATTAAATGTTCACTTTCATAATAAATTAATAATGATTAAATTATGAAAATCTAAAGCATGTTCGGACAAAACACTTATTCATAGAGCCACACAGATAATCTTAAATAGATAACTCTCGACCACAAGCATAAATTGTACAACAATACAAGTTGTTTCCCTCACATTTCAAACACATTGACATAATATTATATTTTTACGATAATTCAAAATGAACAATGTAACGTTTTGTTGTTTATCTAAATGGACACATGTTTTGTAAGATGTTACTTTCACACAGATAAAAATGTTACCGTATCTGATATGACATCGATATTACACCGTGTATGAAATGACAGTTTACCCATTACTTCATGAGCATTTTGTGAAAAATGGCTGTTTTCATTGAAAAGTCTCCCGTTATGTGTTCAAATTGCTATAAAACTATAAAAAACTGTTTCAATACTAATCAAACATGGCACAAGTGTTGACTGGACCATTGCCTTTGCAACAACATGCTCAGGCTTAAATTTCCTGTTAACATAGCAACGAAGGGACATCTCAAAATTGCCAAAAATTACTATTTTGCGTTGATTTTTTCCATCAGAATTGACTTCAAAGTGCTGCAACTTCTCAATGGATTGAGATACAGTCAAATGCTTTTCAGTGTTGGTTACACGTTACCCTATTATCGATCTGGGGTCATTTTTAGACTTTGTCCAAAATTGTCTTGGCGATGAGGGCGACTCCGCCCCCTTCAACCACCCCCCCTTACAGAAGGGGCACATCCCCCTTCTGACAACCCCCTGATGTATCTTTTGGTTGGGGGCTGCGCCGAAAATGTCGTCACTTTTTTTAACAACATTTCTCAAACAGAAACAAGTGTTGGAGGCCTAAATAATGCATTTTTTTCACCATTTGAGACACCAAAAGGGGGGGTGAAAAAGGCGTTAAAAGACGTATTTATCGAAATAATTGATGATTGGGGACATTTGCTTAAAGGTCCTGTAACACATTTTATTTATACAATGTAGTTTTATATAATAAATATGATGCTCAAATTAAAATTTATCAATTTTGAAAGTTCCAACAAAGCATTATTGATAAAGATATAAAGATATTACCGTATTTAACAATTCAGATCTGTAAACAATTAAAACCTGTATGATTTGATATTGAGAGCATTATCTATACCAAAATAACATCTGTACGAAAATAAGAACTTCATGAAAAAAGGAGTAGGAGGAGCTGACAAAATATGGTAAACAAGTCAGCTTGATGAAATAATATTGGCTTGAGAGTGGAATATAGAAACTTTAAGTTGCTTGAATAAATATGTTTCAACTAAGTCAGTTTTCTTCATAAGAAAGCGATATATGTTTATTTCGGAGTAAACATTACACCAGTTTTAGAGAAGCTGGAGACACATTGTGGGTTAGGTCATTCATTGTTGAAATGTGTTTGGAACATTTAGCATATTCGTTGTTGGCTATCCTGAGAGTTCAAAACATCTTTAAAACTTTCAAAGATAGCACTGAGTATTGTATTTCAAATTAAACAGTAAAATAAAGAGTATGCATTTGAAAACAATGCAGATTATCTGAATAGTGAACACCATTGAACAATATGACAGAAATAAAATCTGACAGCTGTAAAATAAGGCCACATTCATCATTTCCATGTTGTTATATTTATTTGTTCCACGAGATCATTGATTCTAACAATTCACAATTTGATATGTTATTTAAGCCTTAACCTACTTAAGCCAAAAGTGATCCGCCTTTTCCACTAGTATTGAACCAGCTAGCCTGCTGAAATCAAGTGTGATCAGCCTTTGGAAAGAGTCAGGCCAGCCTTCTGAAACAAAAAGTGATCACTTATTGCCACCAGTAAAGAGCTAGTCCAACCTTTAGTCAAAACCAAAAGTGATAAGTTATTGTCATTACGATAGAGCCAGGTTTGACTTTTCAAAAAAAGTGACCAGTTACTGCAAACAGTATAGAGCCAGTTCAGCCTGCTGAAATCGATAGTGTTCAGCCTTAACCACCAGTATAAAGGCAGTCTAGCCTCCTGAAACAGAAAGTGATCAGCCTTTGCCACCAGTATAAAGGCAGGCTAGCCTCCTGAAACCGAAAGTAATCAGACTTTGCCACAAGTAAAGAGCCTGTCCAGCATTCAGAAACCGAAAATGATCAGAAAATACCGCACATATAGAACCAGACAAGCCCGCCGGAACCGCAAGTGTTCAACCTTTGCCACTAGTATAGAACAAGGCCCGCCTGTTGAAACCGAAAGTTGTTAGCCTTTGCCATACGTATAGAGCCAGGCCAGTTTGCTGAAACCGACAGTGACCAGCCTTTGCCATAAGTATAAAGTCAGGCCAGCTTGCTGAAGCCTAAAGTTGTCAGCCTTTGCCATAAGTATAGAGTCAGGCCAGCTTGCTGAAGCCTAAAGTTGTCAGCCTTTGCCATAAGTATAGAGCCAGGCCAGTTTGCTGAAACCGAAAGTTGTTAGCCTTTGCCATAACAATAGAGTCAGGCCAGCTTGCTGAAGCCTAAAGTTGTCAGCCTTTGCCATAAGTATAGAGCCAGGCCAGCCTGCTGGAATCGAAAGTGATTAGCCTCTGCCACAAATATAGAGCCAGGCGTGGGGTATGACCAACCTCGATCTATGTTTGCATTTCATTTAGTTTCAAATGAATTGTTCATTATTTAAAGCAAGGTAAATCCATTTAACAAACACAAATTCAACAGTTTAAGTGTTATAGTTATTGAAGAACCAGAAAAATATACATTTACATACACAATATTAAAATTGAAAAAAAAAACGGACCACTTCTGACCGGAGCAAAAGTAACTTTCACTTAATTGTTTAATCATATTTTATTGCTATATACATGTATATACAATACAGATACAAATTTCATATGTATTCTAAACAGCAAAAGCAAACGGGTTGGGCCCAAGTTCTTACAACATTAGCGGTCGGCCCTCCCCTTCACTTTTATGATGTATCTGAAATATCAAAACTTTTATCCACAAGTAATGAAATAAATGATAAAATTGTGAAAATCTAAAGCATGTTTGGACAAAATACTTTATCATAGAGCCACACAAATAATTTTAAACATTATAACTCTGGAGTACTTGCATAAATTATACAACAACTCTTAATTGTGGATAACTGACTTTTTTAATAGACTCACACAGAAAATCAGTAACAGATCAATTTGGAATACAGAATACTTGATAGAACAGTACACGTTGTGTTCCTTTTATTTAAAATACATTATATTTTCAGTGCTGATAAATTATCAAACAGGAAATAAGTTGAAAAAAGTATGTACACTTATATTATGACACAATGTTAAAATATTGTCAACAAACTGGAGCTTAACAATGTCAATATTGAAAATAATTAGATTGAACTGTTTGTAAAACACAGATAATACAAAGGTAAACTAGCAATTTTATATGATTTCATAATTAACATCTGACACAAATACAAATACTGACAATAATTGGTAAATAACATTTATTACTTATATTTCTCGTTCCCCAGTGCCTGACACTACTTAAAGCTACATATTTCAAATTGGTTTGTCCTAAATCCTTCGTTGGTCAGAATATTAGTAACCATCTATTATGTGTAAAATTTCGCTGTCTTCTTTGTAAGAAATCCGTTACAATGCCAGTGCGTTACTTGAAAAAGTGAATATATTCATCTAATATTATTTATTTACTCATGATATTTATGCAACAATGTAATGGTTTGTTATTTATCTAAATGGACTTTTGAATTGACAGATTATTGGCAAAACACCCCACCATTAATAAAGCACTCTTGTGTTGCATAATAAAACACTGAAAGCTTATTTAAATTTAAAATGATAATAGAAAAACCATAGAAAAGTGACTAATATCAGATAGTTAATGGGCAAACATTGCGAGTATTAAAATGTCAATGCATAATACACACTGTACACGAAGGTTCAATGCTTATGTCATATGTCCTCGATGTCTATCAAAGTATTATTATTTCTCTGTTTATTGTTATATTTCCTATTTTATCCCACGATATCTTGTTTTGCAGAAAATAAAATTAACTAATTCACAACGGCCATTTACATCCAAAAGGCTTCTTCCCTTCTGTATGTAAAGTCTTTTTATGACAATCAAAGCATATTGCTTGTATATGAATAGTTTATCGTAACCATACATACGCTGTTGTTACGAAGGTAAGCTTTGTTTGCCCTTAAGGTATTAGGACCCTAATGGGCACTATCAAGGACTAAAAATATTGACATCATAGGTCAGATGTATACCTTAAAGTACACCTGTATGCAAAATTTAAACAAAGTTTACCGTACGGAAATCAAGTTATGGCCCCTTTTCTGAACGCAAGCTAGGATGTTATGAGGGCCCTTTTTAAAAATTATGGTTTCTACTTAAAATTTTAACTTAAAATCTTTTATTTATGAAATCTGTATACCCTACCCCACCCATTTTTTACCACATGTCTGACAATTTTTCTACTTAGGGAGCCTAATTTAAAAAATTCTTAAAATTTACCCAAATTAGTGCCTGTTTTCAAAGTTTCCCTAAATTTTTAAAAATGTATATTGGTTGATCTTGTAAAATATGAAATACTTTTACCGTCTAGTTTTGATTATATTACACTTTGAAAATATCAGGTACCATATTTATTACTAGATTTAGCATAATTTAGCCAATAAATACATATATCAATTAAAAAATCAAAATTAAACACTTTTTTCTTTCCAAATGGGACATGAGAGATACATAAATAATGTTAAAAGAAAAAAGAAAGAAAAAAAAGTTGACCCTTCTGGGGATTGAACCCATGACCCTCATTTTCAATGTAGTTAACAGTAGCTCTAGCCTTTTTGAATACTCTTCAAAGCGGAGGTAATGCATAAGGGTGCTAATACCTTAAACATATAACTTTTGGTTCTAATTATAAACGGATGCTAACAGTCTAAATATATGACACTTTGCGGAATTGGTCTACTTTGTATCTTTAAGAACATAAGGAAGCATTTCGAAGTATCTGCCTTGCGGTATTCTTGTTCCAAAATAAGTTATAACTAGTTATTGATCAATTTGTTTAACAGCTTACAAATATGGATTTTTGCCGAATTATTTCGTCCTCTAATCTGAAGGGAACGCGCATAATATTTAAAAGCATTTTCTACATTATTCTCTTCTTCCATACACTGTCCTAGAAGATTGAGTGCTGTTTCCCTATGTCCGAGATTTGGTTCAACATCAATGGTTCTGGCAATGTTAGAGAGAGCCCTCTGTTTATCATCTTGTCTTCCTAGACGGGAATATGTCTTGTACTGCAAGAAATAGAGGAAAGGGAGAGAATCAACAGCAGCGAAATCCATCCAATAATCATCTACTCTTCTGTAAGCAAGATCTTCCTGTGTTGATCTAAACATTTCATGTTGAAGTTCGAATGGACAAGTGTTTATTTCACATCGTATATAACGGACACATGATGCTGTTATTTGTTTAAGCAGTGCCCATTCTTCATTTGATTCATAACATAATCTGTTGAATATTTCTCTTCTTGCATATTGTTTGGAATCGTAACACCCACACACTGGTTCAACAACACTTAGATCATAACACTCCTCAATATTTTTCAGGATAAGTTCAGTCCTCTCAATATCTCCACAACAATAAATAACAGAAGCTAGTTTCAGTTTACCAGATGCTACATCGGTGTCAAGTCCTAATGACATGAATTCAAGTGCCTTCTTGTATGTTAAATGGTGTTGTTGGTTAATGTTTAAAGATGCTAGAACAGATCCAATTGTACAACATAAATATCGTGTTAACAAACAGTAAGCTTTTCTATCTATGTTTGAGAAATTCTCATTGTGGTGATTTGACATAAATGTTAAAAGTTTTTGAATTGTAAGTATTTGTGATAAATTGTACATATCACGTAACAGACATTGGAAGTTCACGCTTTTAGCATGGGCTGTATCTTTGAGTAACCGTCCGGCAATCAGTTTTGGTACACAATGTGCATCTATTATGTTAATACCGTTTAAACTTGACTGAAGAAATAAACCAAAGTTGTCGCATTCAATTTCGAGCAATGCCCTTCCATTACTTTCGATTACATAACGAAGAGTTTCAAGTATTAACTGCTTTGTTTCTGGAGTAAATCGCCCGCTCATCAAGTTATTTTGTGTGATGAAGAAATGAGGACAGTATTCATTTTGAACACAGTTGTAAAGTGTTGATAAACAAAATGATAGACAAATAAAAAGGGTATTTTCATTCCATGCATCAGATCTTGTAAATGAAATACAATGTAACAAAATTGTTTTACATATAAAACTTGAAATTCTGTCGGGGAATCTTTGAGAACTTATAAATGTTTTCAGAATCATTTTCATCAAAACATAACATCTAATTTGTGTTATGTTAAGATTAAACATTATAAATCTCTCTGCAAATGATGTAGATATTCTCCATTCAAGTATTTCATTTACACTTCCTGTTTTCCCAACGCCAACAACAAAACATCGTGTGTTACTACAGTACTGTATCATATCATTTGTAGGCCAATTCTCCTCTCTATGTTGACATAACCAATGACTTGCTTGAACTGGGTATAACCGAGAGGGAAAGGCAGGAACAAAATCATTATCATTGACCCCAGGAGCGTCTTGAACAGAATGAGCTGGGCCGTTTCTTACCACTTCATTATGTAAATCATTAAAGCATGTATTTTTTAACAATATTCTTCCCGTTCTGTCTCTATATGAGTGGTCATTAGTTTCAACTACGCGTGGTAGTGGAGCATCATCTCTTAATATTTGTAAACCACAATATCCTGGAGAGACATTTTCATCTTGTATCATCAACAAATTACGCTTACCATATTCCCATTCACTCCAGTCTTGTATCACATTAAATTTGTTTATAGATATAAGACTATCTGCGTCAGACTGTAATCCTGGAGTTGTTGTACCTTCTATTTGACTACCAAAGTTGAACACATTTATATCTTTACCGCGTAGCTGTTGACCTAACGTAAATAGTGATTCATTCAGTAGCATTGACCTCCTTCTTTTCATCACTATCTTCTCGTTTACACCAATCCTATCCATCACTTGAGACATTTTAAGTGATAAATTATGAGCGTAATCTGGTATCCTCGACATTCTAAAATAAAACAGAAATTCATTTTAGTTCTTAAACATTTCTGTATTTCCTAATAAAATACATTAGAACATATGTTTTCACGATAAATAAACATCAATTTATACTTTGAAATAAATCCCTTCAAAACACAGAAGTGACACATTTAAGCAATGTTTTATTACGTATAAATTTCATAAGTGATTTAACTTTTAATAAGAGGTCATAATTTTAAATGAAATAGGGAAATAAAGTTATATTTAATACATTAAGTTGCAAATTGTACAATAAGAAAACGAAAGTTGGAATTTGTAATGCTTCACACCTTAATTGGACAGATTGAATGGCACTAAATAGTGAATAAACAAAGTACTACTTTTTGGTGAAATTAAACCTTACTTGTAAATTGAATCTAACACAGACAATTTAAAAGTTATATTCTAACACTCCCGTGAATTTGTCACTATAGACAAAGAAGGGAAAAACCGGTGTTAAACTGCCAATAAACACTCGTTAGGGACTACTTGTATATGCGGCTGTTATGTTTTCACCCTCGATTATATAGTTAACAAAGGCTTTTAAAGCAACAATAAAAAAACATTTTTATTTATATTTACAGTTCTTATATAATGTTTTCGTTTCATACAATACCGAAATAATATCTCACATTCACTAACGCCACATATTTGATTCATATCAGTTAATAAATATTTTAACAAAACGGCGGCAATCCGTAAGCAGCGTAATGACGTCATACTAAGTAAACAACTCCTTCATAAACAAGCTGACGTTATTTCATACATACAAGAATGATAACTGGGGCACTGGTGTAAACCCAATACGACGTAAGTTTTAATTGTTGAAAACTTGATAAAATAACGTTTTCTTCTTATTATTTCTTTTGTTTAATAATTTCTATATCTTCGCAACAGTAGGGTGCGAAAATCGAACAGCGTTATACAAAAATCGGCACCGGAAGTTATTTCCGTTTGAAAAAATAACATTAGTGATCTTCCTTATTTTATCGTGTTAGAATCGAAATAACATCGGCCTGAGAGGTGTATATCGGCTATTTAACACCGGTTTTGTCGTTTTGATGCGAAAAAATTAACCACTCAGGCCTACGGCCTTCGTGGTCAATTCCTACGCATCAAATCTCCAAACCGGTGTTAAATAGCCGATGTTATTTCTTAAATCGCTCTATGGCGGCCATTTTCAGAGGATGAATAATATTGTTGGACTCTATCATATATAGTGACTTTAAAACTATTTCTTAAACATATAGAATCTAGACATGAATGAATACAAGTATTCTATTTCGAACTTGGATTAAAGAAACCAGATTATTAAATTTAATAAAGATTCTCATCATATGGACAAGGAAGTCAAATCTTTAAGGCTTTTATCATAAAATACTTATATAACTAATACTTATTATAAAATAACTTGTATAACTAATATACTAATTACTCAGATAAGTATGAAGTGACGAACGAAGCTGGATAAAAGTTCAAATAAATTGTTCTGTGGTTCTACAAGTAGAATTTAATGAGATGCCTGGAAAATCTGTAAAAATTAAATATCAAGTCTATGAACATTTGCCCTTTTATTTTATTTTACAAAATAGCTTATAACGCCTCTTATTGTCAGGACATCTAGCATTCATGTCAGCATGCAATATTGTGTTATTATTCCCGTACACTTTTGCTTTCTGCAAGCTTTTCCTTAATGGAGTAGCTTTCCGGACAGCACTTACAATATATCAGTCTTATGCAAGAGTTGTACGCCTAGACAGACAATCACTGTGTGCATCTGCTACATTTCTTTCAATTTTGTAACGGTTCCATTTTATTCAGATTCATTTAACTACGGGAAACATTCAAGGGTGCTGACAACCTGCTATTGAGCATACACCTTGTCAGGCATAATCTGCCTCTTAAGATTTTTATTCATTATATTGAATGCGTTCACACACGTTAAAATAAAAAATTCTAAAACGAAGCACAAAAATTCAGATATACACAATCAGCATTAATGCCGTCAAAATCTTGATTTTCGAGGTTCACAAAGTCGCCATAAGTGTTCAAATGAGGAAAGTCCCTCGCATGGTTGACACAAAACGCTTTAAACTTTATTTTGGTTCACCTGCTCCTGCTCATCCTAGTGTTTGAAATTGATTCTAACACTCACGTGATTTTGCCACTATAGACAAAGAAGGAAAAAACTGGTGTTAAACTGCCAATAAACACCGGTTAGGGACTACTTGTATATGCGCTGTTATGTTTTCACCCTCGATTGTATAGTTTACAAAGCATTTTAAAGCAACAATAAAAAGCATTTTTATTTATATTTTCAGTTCGTATAATGTTTTCTTTTCATACAATACCGAAATAATATCTCACATACACTAACGCCACATATTAGATCCATATCAGTTAATAAATATTTTGACAAAACGGCGCCAATCCGTAAGCAGCGTAATGACGTCATCCTAAGTAAACAACTCATTCATAAACAAGCTGACGTTATTTCATACATACAAGAATGATAAATGGGGCACTGATGTAAACACAATACGACGTAAGTTTTTATTGTTGAAAACTTGATAAAATAACGTTTTTTTCTTATTATTTCTTTTGTTTGATAATTTCTATATCTTCGCAACAGTAGGGTGCGAAAATCGAACAGCGTTATATACGAAAATCGGCACCGGAAGTTATTTCCGCTTGAAAAATAACATTAGTGATTTTCCTTATTTTATCGTGTTAGAATCGAAATAACATCGGCCTGAGAGGTGTATATCGGCTATTTAACACCGGTTTTGTCGTTTTGATGCGACAAAATTAACCACTCAGGCCTACGGCCTTCGTGGTCAATTCCTACGCATCAAATCTCCAAACCGGTGTTAAATAGCCGATATACACTCTCAGGCCGATGTTATTTCTTAATTATGTTTGTCCAATAGAAATGCAACATTTCTTTGGTAAATCGGCTAAATTGAATTAGTGTACTTAATGGACAGTTTTATAACAATAATATCAAACACTTCATCGATTAGTGTTTTTCCCGTTCTTGACAAATTTAACTTTGTAAATACTTACTTTATTGTTGGATCGTTTTCACAATACAAAATAGTATTCTGGAAAATAAGAGTGAGCGAATGATCTGAAATTTTGCAATAAACTGTTTGACTAAAACCTACAAACCATAAATTATTATTTAAATATCAAATTTTCACAGTAATGTCCGTTTAAGCAGCCGCAATTCGTGAGAATTCTATGTACAAACAAGAAGACAATGGTTGCCCTGGATTCAATGGTACCTGAGATCACACTGCTAGAAAACGTTACGTTTTTAAATGTCACTCTCATTTTGTCATTTTGTATATAAACATCATATTTTTTCAAATATTTATAATATATATATAATTATCTAAGATGTAGACATTGCAGTTTCACAGAAGACATACATGGAAATGTATGTTCCTATGCAAGTTATTATAAGCCAAGCAATCTTCGGGATGAGGTCAATTTTTATCTAAAGGGTCATGACTTTTATTACTTTCGTAGACGTCTACAAGCAAAATACGACCACAAGCAAAATATCGTTTGGGGTTGTAGTTGTTAGGAAAAATGTAAATTATTTTGTTTTTACAAAAAGAGACCTAACTTTATTTTCATATACAAGTCTGTATAAAATAAGTGACCTCAGGGTTGGTCATATGAGATCATTTATATTTGCACACTTATAAGATGCATAACACTTTGTTTTAAATGTTCTTTGTCAGAACACAAATCAAATATTTACATAAGGCAATGGTCAATTAATCAAAGTTCACTATTTTACCTAAAATGTCATCTTCAATTCAATTTCCTATTTTTTTTTTATCCCAATAACTTATAATGTAAAAGGCGATTATAGCAAATAAGCAGTAAAATTAAAAAAAAAAATCACGTCATTCACGAGTCAAGGCCAAATGTAGTTCGATTTTTGTCAATATGTTTAAGAATGAAGACAGTCAATTTATAGAAAACATATTATAACAATAAAAGCACAAATAAAGTTTTTTTATTATTTGACTTGAAGGCTGAATGACTAAGGTCATTTATGTCCAAACGTAACGGTAAATTTGATCTACTTAAAGGTTTTGCCTGTACATTGTTTTGTGTCCAAGAATAAAGACAACGCATATATAAATAAGAAAGCTAATGCCTGTTAAAGAAAATAATTTAAAAAAAAAAACTGAAAAATTTGACACTGAATGACCAGGTCATTTATGAATTAAAGGTCAAGTGAAGTCCGATAAACTTTAAGGTCTTGTCTAAAGTACTTAATTTATGTAACGAATTTGTGATTTCGTCCATTTGGAACAAGATAAAGTTATGAATATTTTGAAGCAAAACACATATAAAATAGCTCAACTATTAGTTTATGGACCTTTTCCAGAAAATAGTGACGTAATTAAACATAGCAAGTGCGATGGATAACGAATGCATTGCAAAAAGATAACTGCATAAAATAAAATAAAAATATTACCTTAAACCCACATTAAGTGCATTGGGTTTCTCTGACTTCCTTTATAAATCTTCGCAATGAATCTTAAGCAAACATTTTCTGTTTATTCAAATTCATCTTATTATCAGTTTGTGAAATTGTTTTATTTACCGATATCAGTGAAGTTTAAAGTAAAATTAAAGTTTGCATTTATCCATAGATAGATAGATTTTTTTTGTCGGTGTATATTACATATAGATGGACATTTAAGCAATATGTATGGTACTTATGTATGTATTTAACATATTTGGGAATAAATAATGACATGCACACCCGCAGCAAGGATAGCACAAAAAGAGATACTCCGTTGTGTGTTTGAGTGTTCAAGACTAAAGTAAAATTTGTTATTTAGATTAGTTGATTAAGTAAGGTTAATATAAGTTATGTTAAGTGAGACAGCTGAGTTGGTAGTTAAGTACAGAAAGAGTAAGTAGGATAAGTTAAAGAAAAATGATGTTAAACGGATTTCTTTTCAGTAAGTGGTGTATGTTATTGTAGATAGTCCAAATTTGTCGTCCCTTTGTGTTTTCGCATTAACGCATTTTGAGGCGAAGAAGCGAGAATACGACATGGCATAAATCAGCCACCATACCATGCAAAGTTTAAGTTGAAAGCAAGAAATAAAAATATTTACCTGATGCGTCTTTGTCCTGGCAGATTAAAAATTAATTGTTTGTGTAACTTTTGAATATAAAAAAAAAAACAAAAATTGAAAATTTGTTGAAATTAATTTTAGTAAATTGACTAAATGGAATCAGTGTGGTTCATCAACAGTTTTATTAAAATAATATCAAACACAAAAATGGTAAGAGTTCTGCCGTTCTTGACCAACGTAATTTTGTAAATGCTAACTAACAAACACTTAAAAGCGCCATTTCATTTTTGGATCGTTTTCGCAATACAAAAGAGTATTCTTGAAAATAAGAGTGAGCGAATGGTATGATATTTTGCAAGAAAGTGTTTTGACTTCAACCTACATTCAATTATAAAAAATATCAAAAATGCACAGTTGTGCCCATTTAAGCAGCCGCAATTCGTAAGAATTTTATGTAAAAACAAGAGGACGATGATGGTCCTTGATTCTATGGTACCCGAGATTCCAACGCTAGAAAATGTTACAATTTTAATAATATTAAACTGGGTTTGTCATTGTTTTACTAAAGCGTCATACTTTATAAGGCTATGGTCATTTCATCAAAATTGACTCTGTGCCTAAAATGTCAAGATCAAATAAAGATTAAAATCAACTTCAATTCATTTTATTTCTCTATTCATTTATTGTGTCCAAGTACAAAGACAACCCATCTTATAAGAAAGCTACAGCCTGTAATAGGAAATAATTTCAAGCAAACTGAAAAAATTGACATGGTCATTTATGAATTAAGGTCAAGTTAAGTCTGATATACGTGCTTGAAAGTCTTGTCCAAAGTACTTAATTTTGAAAACGAAATTGTGATAAAGTCCAATTTGGAATAGGTAACAAATATAAAATTAAACATTTGCATTGTATTTAGCTCAACTTTCAGTTTAGGAACATTTTACAAAAACTATTGACCTAATAAAACGGATAACGAATGTCTTTTTTATCTTTTCAAAAAAGTAACTGCGTAAAATAAAAGTAATTTATTGCTTTAAAACCCTCATTAAGTGCGTTAACTTAGGTTTCTCTGACTTTCTTTATGAATTTTAAACAAATATTCTGTATAATAAATTCATTCATCACCAGTTTGTGAAATTGTTTTGACATGTTTTTTTATCCGATATCATTGAAGTTTTAAGTAAACAGACACTTGGCATTTATCCATAATAGACAGGAAGGCAGGTGTGTAGGTAGGTAGATGATAGATAAAATTATACAGGTTAAAATTACATGGACATTTAAACAACATGTAGGGCACAAGTACATGTATTTAACAGATGTCGCACGGTCATATTGATGTGTTTATGTTATATGTTGTTTTTCAATATATGTCTCTTATTGTACACCGTAGATTGTTATTTACATGTCCATGGCTTGTCTGTTGTATTTGTAACTGTATATATCTTGTGAAGACCAATATTTATGTCCCTTCTCCTATATCTCATGCTTTAATCCGTTGCTTCATTTACTGATTTATTTATTTCTTCATTGATTCATTTATAATCAAGTATGTACTAACCACTGGTACGGGCCTAAATGTAAATATTCTATTCCCGCACTAAATAACTTCATGCATTCGCACACATACTGAAGGTTTTCATGGCGCGAGCCAGACTTTCCTTTCATGATAATGAATATTTTCTGTGAGCGCGTCTCTGCATTTTTGCAGCAACCCTCAAGCAGCAGCACCTTTCCCAGTTAGTAAGAGTGGACTGCAACACATATATGAGAATAAATAATGACATGCACACAAGCACCAAGGATAGCACAGAAAAGACTATAGTAAATTAGTTAGTTATTTAGATTAGTTAATGAAGTAAGTTAAAGGTAAACTGTGTAAAGTATGACAGGTAAGCTGGTAGGTAGGTTAGTACAGAAAAAGTAAGTAGGATAAGATTAGGAAATAGTGATATAAAACGGATATATTTGGTGTATGTTGTTTTAGATGGATACATGTATACGATTATATATAACATTATCCACAATATCCTTAAGCCCTCTTAATAATACATGTTTTTTTAAAATCCATTTAATTTTAGATACAAATAATTTATAATGAAAACGTTTCAGACGTTTTCAAAATTCATTAAAAAAAACATGTTTATCGTTTTATGATTACTGATATGAAACTGCTTGACTGTTACAAACGCTTTATAGAATTTGAATAAGTATATCTATGTGTTGCATATTGTGTTGGAACACTATGTATATTTTTTTTTACAATATACTGCTTTTTCATTTAAAAAAAATAAAAAATGAAATAAATATGAATGAATGAATGAATGATTGAATGAATGAATGAATGATAAATTAGTGAATGAATGAAAAAAAAAGAATGAACAAGTTCATGCATTGATGAATCACAGATAGGAATGAATAAACGAAATCACGGATAGAATATTGATAAAAAATGTAGGCAATATATCAAATATTATTATAAAAATGAAATCACAACAGTATTTAACAGGTAATAAAATCATTTGTAAGAAATCAGAGTCAGCAAATAAAATAAGAATAAGCTAGTTTAAAGAAACTTAACCGACGCCGACTACATAATTTTGTCTCTTTGATAATATTCTAAACGTTCTAGCAAAGTTCTTATTAAACAAAAATATATTTACCTTTTGTGTTTTTGTCCGTGCAGGGTAAAAATACATAGATTAATGAAATTGTCCTTGATGGGTAAAAATACATGGATTAATGAAAATTGTACTTGTGTAACTTTGAAGATTAAAAACGAAAATTGGAAAGTTTGATAATTTTGTACGTGACACAAGCAACGTATTTATGAAACGGAACAAAACATAAGGTGTCAAAGGTTGATACTATAATTCCATTTATTTCACATGTCTATACCATGTTCATGTTAAGACATTATGGACCACTTTATATCTTTATTGCTGTCACCCAAGGAATTTGTGGCATTAACAGATTTATTTACTTTGCTAAATAAACAACCCCCTTTCGAGACATTTTATCAGGAATACAGATGAACCTATACTGTCAGAATTTGTAAACTTTTGATCGTTTCTGACACTTTTATTATAAAAAAAGAAGAATGACAAAGTCAAAACATCTTGCAATATTAAAGATTCCGTGTTCTTTAAGTTGCATACATGGAATTACATTTTTGTCTCAAAAGAGTTTAAAGTTATTATTTAATTATGGCCTTACTCTTTCACTAGTATATGTAATATTCTCCAAAGAGCTACTTTTTGGGCAAGTTTCTGACATTCTTTTTCGACTTGACTTTCAATAAGATCACATTTTACCATATTCTCTTGACTGTAAGTTGTCATTTAAAACTGTTTTTAAATATGCAGTATAGAGCAGTGTATCTATAGAGATAGCAGTATTTCAAAAAACAATCTACAAACTGTATCTTCATCAATTTTGTGGTGAATCGAAGTGTGTATATGCACATTTAAATTGCTATACCCTTTTTTAGTTGATACATAACTTGTGTGGGGTTTTGTACTTCATTTTTAAAAAATATATAATCAATGTTTTCAATAATTTGCTTGTGTTGAATAAACTCAATGTTTGTTATGACATGAATTTAATCGATCACCTGAGTAAAGTCTACAACAAAGTCAATGCCGAGTTAACTAACCTGACGTCCTTTGGAATATAGCGACATACCTGGCATCATTTAAAAGGATTCATTGTTTTCATACAATCCACTTACAACAATTACTTAACTTTGATCATACGTCATTCATAGCAAACACATGTCTAAAACACAAGTGTCTGTTTGAACAGTTTTCGTCAGCGCGTTGATCAGCGCCAAATAGTCTGGCATCGATTAAATTGTGTGAATATCTTTTATAATGTACAATGGTGACCGATATTTTGCTTCGGAATATAGTAGGTATTTGGATAATGCATTTTGAATAATACATTCGTATTTATGTTATTTTTTATAGAGATAAAATAGGATTGCCGATCTTCTTCGGATAATAACGAGTATTCGAATAAAGGACGTCGCATAACCGGGGTCGGACTGTATAAAATCTCATTCAACGGGTTCAAGTTGTCGTTAAGACATTTTAGGTGGATTAGGTATGATTTGATAAATGATGTTATACAAACGCTTATCAGTGTAAAAATTTGCAATGCAACCCGACATGCTAAATGTTGTACATTGTACTTTAAATTTGCGCTTGTTATTTTAGAATTCAAAAGTATAAATGCAGTCAAAATCAATTATAATTTAATTAACAGAACTGGACATAATTTTATTTTGGATTTGTACTCAGTATATCATTGCTACATTCAAGATCCATAATAATTTCATGAATTAAAGTCTTCGACATTGACTTAAAGGCATAACTGACATTTCCATCAAATCTAACGACAAGTTTGAGTACAGTGTATTTTCTTTATAAAGAATTTTCGTTGTGAATCTTAAACGAACAATCTATAACTTTTAGGTTATTCTTATCACATATTTAATGTATTTGTTTTTAACATGTTTTTTTTGTAATACATTTAAAGTTGACGTTTTATCTATAATTAGGGAGCTAGTAAATGATTGAGTGTTTAAGCGAGCTATAAGTGAGTGAGGGTCTGTTTGTCAGTAAATACCAGTAAGTAAGCAAAGAAAATTTAAGTAAAGAAAGGTAAGTATGTATAGATGAATAAATATGTAAATAAGTATGTAAGTAAGTAAAGTAAAGTAAGAAATAGTAAGTAAATAAACTATGTGGAAAAGTAGATTAAGAAAAATACCCTGAACTGCCCGTTACCCTAATAAGTTAATTTTCATGAATTAATGTATCTTAAATGTGTAAGCCGCGTCGATGTAATTCTTCATATAAATAAAATTGAGATGCACTTAGCCGTTATTTAATTTTTTTTAAAAATCTAATTTTATTTACGATGATTTTGTGTATGCGTGAAGAAAATGTGTTCACTAAATATTAAAATGAAAAGATGAATGAATGAATTAACAAATAAATGCATTAATAAATGAATGAACTATATGAACTTACAAAATATCAAAAGAATGCACGCATACAAGAACAAATAAATATCGGTAAAACATTACGCACAACATTTCTTAAGTACTTGACATATTCCGTCCAAACGAAATCACTCAAATATTCAGCAGGTAGTATATTTCACGACTCAAGTATATTATTGCTCGACTAGTGAGAATTAAAAATGAAATTGCAATATTTGTTTAGTTTAAATGCAAAACAAGCAACACAGTCCTAAGGGATTAAGTTCATCAGAACTTAAGTATAGTAAAATATTGTATAGTGCAAATATAACATAAAATTCGAAATTAATGTAAATGTTATGTATATCTCCCTTTCATGTTTATTGTTCCCATTAAGATCGTTGAATTTCAGAAAGATGTAGCCGAGAAATAGCGCGGGAACAAATTATTTTACTCTATATACATATTGAAAAAAATAATCAGGGACTATAACATCTGAATGTGTTGAATGGAAATACTATGATATGAGGAGGATATGCGATTGAATGATTTCTATAAAGACTTAGCTGTGGTAAAATCAGTCAGTAGCTGCAAAGAAATAGGGTTGAATTTTTTTTATGTTCTCTTTACAACATACCTACCGCCTCCGTGGTCGAGGGGTTAGAGTCGATGACTTCTAATCCAGATACCTCTCTGGCATGGGTTCGATCCCCGGTAGATGCTTTGGTAGTTTAGCACGGAGAAAGGTAGTCTAGTACTGGTGTAACTCTCCAGGAACGATGGTTAGGAAACTAACCGCCTATATGACTGAAATACTGTTAGGAAAAGGCGTAAAATGAAACAAACAAACAAACCAAAAAAAAACCCCAACAAAACATACCTATTCGGCGGCTTTAACTCAATTAATATGCGCATCTTCTGTTAATAATAAATTTTTCTACAAAGTTTCAGTGCATCAGCAGCTGCTTAGGAAAAGCGCAGGAACGGTCAACTTGCTGAAAAGCTATTTAGGGTCCATAACTATCTGTTGAACGATATGATAATATGTATAATTTAAGATGGCACATTCATGTTATCGGTTAAAAGGATATACACTACATCTTAACAGACTCAATCAAACCGAGTCTGCAATTCGCTTGTTATTTTGTTGTGATTAATGCTTCAGAGGGATCACTTTGTTTTATACTTCACAACAGCAGGTGTCAAATGCTGTGTTGCAGCTGTAAAATGTTGCCCGTTCTTCACTTCAGTGTTGTTATATTTTTCTGATTCTTCGGATCATTGATGCCAGCACTATTGAGTGTTGAGAAATGTGTACCGCTCAAGCCGGGGCTAGGGCTCGTGAGGGATGTTTGACGTATTCATTATCCCGCATGTATAGACTCAATCAAATCGAGTCTGTAATTTTCTTGTAATTTTGTTGTGATTAATGCTTCAGAGGGATCACTTTGTTTTAAACTTCACAACAGCAGGTGTCAAATGCTGTGTTGCAGCTGTAAAATGTTGCCCGTTCTTCACTTCAGTGTTGTTATATTTTTCTGATTCTTCGGATCATTGATGCCAGCACTATTGAGTGTTGAGAAATGTGTACCGCTCAAGCCGGGGCTAGGGCTCATGAGGGATGTTTGACGTATTCATTATCCCGCATGTATAGACTCAATCAAATCGAGTCTGTAATTTTCTTGTAATTTTGTTGTGATTAATGCTTCCGAGGGATCTCTATGTTTCCAAATTATCATAATTATAACATATTCTGTTTATCCGCCTTTTTCTTAATTATCAAATCGAAATTTATGACAGACTAAATGTTAAGTTTGTGTCATAAAAAGCTACTGGCTTTAAATCGTTTATGTATATGTATATCCTACAATGATTGCACTACATTTCATAGACAAAGTTATGGATAAACTTAAGTTTAGACTATTGTAAATACCCGTAGACAACTGAAACTTCAGATGACTGAAATTGACTTGTTATGAAAATAGACTTATTATGAACATTAAAAGACGCAATAAGCATAAAAATATTTAAAGCGAAAGCCGATGTCCTTCAGTACAGGAGTTCGGTACACTATCAATAAGTTAATGTATGTATGGACAGTTTGCAATCTGGTTGATGTATAAAAATGTAATATGATTTTTATTCTCGTTTTTTCTCGACCTATAGAAACATTAACAATTTAACAGAAAATACGCATATATATTAGCTTTTTAATGCATGCAGTATTTGCATTGTTCCTCGAATTCAAAAACTTTAAATACAGTTAAGAAAACTGTAAATAAGAAGAAATCATAAAACCTGTATACGTATTTTGTGTAAAATATTTTCAATTAAGATATATGCCTCATGTCATTTGAAAAAAAAGAATAATGCATTTATCTTATTCCTTATTCGAAGTAGATCATCGACAAATAAAAAGTAAAACCTAAAGTAGATCATTTTGCTTAAATCAGGAAATCAAAATGATTTAAAAAGGGAGGCAACGTTTTCGTTTATTCCATATGAACTAAAATACCATTACTTTCCCTTTATTCTAAAGGGATATTTAATAAATTTATTGTGAAATGTACAATAAGCCCATGTACACGGATAAATATCTATATAAGCATTTAAATGTATAAATTAGAAAGTATGAATTATGTCGGTGTTAAAATATCCCTAGATAATTGATACTTTCGATGATTTAAATTTATTTGCTATATAAACTAAAAGAACTATTGAAACATTTAAAAACGCCACGAAACTGCGAAAAAAGTTGCTTGTGAAGGCGAAAATGGAGATTAAATGAGTTATATGTTTTGACATTTACCAGTCTTGTTAAGCAACATTATTAAGCCATTGTATGTGACATTTTCATCGTCCTATAAATTCTAGCAAAAAATAGAAAAATACTTTAATACATGTTATAGTCTCATGTTTTTGACCTGTCATACATTATAACACTCAATTAAACATTCGATATCACTTCAGTTCTGTCCGTATAGTGTTTGAGAATTAATATCTAGAATTAACTTACGTTTGGAAAAGTCACAATAGCTTAATGTATAGGTTTTCATAGCATCTGCAATAGCACAGTCGGTTAAGTGATAACCTAATATACGAGAGGTCTGTGGTTCGATATCATCTTTTGCCATTGTTTATTCTTTCTTTATTTGTATTGCCAAACACTTGCAGAATTATTCACACGGATATGAAACAACTTCTAGCACGGAATTGTCTCGTTTTGTATTGTGATTTACGGCACTAAATGACATGTATTGATTTTAATCAGAAAGTTAAATTAAATTTTTGAATATTAACTCTTAAACAATGTTAATTAAAAAGGATAATATTTACAAAATAAGTGCAAAACATATCAAAAACAAAAAATAAAACCATAGCTTCAAAAATGTTGAAAATAGTTGTAAATAAGCGAAAAAATAACTTGACATACGCGGTATCGATCTTACAACACGTAAAGCATTGAGAA